TCACCTCACCTTTTTTCTACCTTTGTGTCTGTTTCTTTTGTATCTTTGAAAAACTCTTCTGCCCCCCACCTCGATCGACTTTTTTCCCTCTGTGAAGGCTGAAGTCAACTAAAGGGCTAATGATAAACTCTGTGAAATCTGAAGTCAGCTAAATGGCTAATGATAACTATCAAAACGCCTCCTGATAACTATCAAAACGCCTGTCAAGTCAACTAAAGGGCTAATGATAACCATCAAAACGCCTGCTATTTGAAATAAATAAATGTTCAAATGGAGCCTTCTTCCTGTTGTCGTTGATGCATCCTAGATTCTCATGTCAGTTTCTTCAATTGGCGAGCTTCTTTATCACTCTTTCTTCCCTTTTTCCACCATTTTAAGTAATATTAGTTGTTTTACTATTCCATTTTCTGCTGCTTGGTTATATTTGGAACAGGATGAATCGGTTGTAATATGTGGATATTAATCATGGAATTAACTATCCTTCTTATTTGTGTTTTTTTTGCCCATAATTTATGCGTACTCCTAACAGATCTCATTTGTTATGGAAATTTGATTTAGCATAGAGTGCAGTGCAGTTTGATGTGGCACGTTATGATAAATTCAGCATAAAACTCACAATTCATTTATTTATTTATATCAAATGGCAGTTGAGAGGAGGGGAACTGAAGAGTGTTTCAAAGACGAAGGTTGAAAATTTAGAAAAAAATGTGATGTAGTACTGTGGAAGTGATCGAATATGTCATACAGGGGGACCTTGGTAGTTTGAAGTCAACTGCCGGTTGATAGACTTTTTGCCGTATGAGTATACGTTGCCCAGGGTGCACCACGTGGAGGTAAGTCTATCGCACACCCCAAACAAAGTACAATTAATTTGTTTTTCGCAAACGCAAACATTGGGGCTCTCTTTGGTGATGGTTTGCCAGGATGCAGGGTATATTGGAGCGTTTAGCAAATTTAATTAAATGAAAGTGTTAACAGAGTTTGCCATACTCGTTTGAAGTAAGTGATTTTGGCATCTGCCATCCGCCCCCCCCCCCCCCTAATGCCACTGCATTAACTTACTTTGCGACTTTAATTGCCGTCTAGGGTCCAATTCACGGCATATAAGAGTGCATGGCCATCTATCTTGATCTGATTTATAAGGAAGCAAGTTTCACAGGTGGGGGGGGGGCGTAGCGTAGGGATTTTAATTCTACTTTTTAATGGGAGAAATGGAAGCGGTTGGAGGAATTGGGGAATTTCGGTCCTAAAATCAACAGTTTCTATTTGTTTTCGGTTGTCGCTTTCTTCATAATGTTCTCCCTTCAGTTGGAATTCAATTATATTGATTTTCTTTGAATTTTCAAAACTATTGCTTGACATAAGTGGTGATTTGCAACTATTATATTGAATTACATTATTTGCTTGTTTATTTTTTTTAATTATTGAAATATGTCACTGAATCTATGTTCTAGGAAAGTTGAATTTGCTTACTTTAAGTCTCAATATCACACCAATGGGCTTTCTCTCATGACTCTAATATGGTGAGAGCGTTATGTACCTCTTGGGCTTATTCTCAAGTCCCCAAAATAAGTTTTGCACAATTGAGTTAATTTGAACAATTATGCATTAATCATGCTTTTCTTATACATACATATTAGTTTTTAACCTACTTCAGGCATGAGTCGAATTGATTGGTTAATTTTGGTACTAATTAATGGCCTGCGTTTTGCCACCAATCGAAATTTCCTTAACTCTCATTTTTATTTTATCTATTCCAGGAAATGCGGGTCACGTCATGTGATTGAAGATCTTTGTGATGCTTACGATATGGCTCGTCCTGACCCAATTCTTCGTGTTGGCGAACACGACGCTCATGCCGCTGCAGGCGTACTCAAGCAGTACCTCCGAGAATTACCCGAACCAGTTATTCCCTATCGCCAGTACGATCGACTTAAAGCCACTGGCTATCTCATCGAAGATGGACAAGACCTAAAACCCATTATCGATCAATTGGAATGTCTACCAGCGCCCAATTATAGTCTCCTTCAGTTCTTATGTCAACTTCTTTTAGAGGTGAGAGTTACTTTGATTTCAACCAAATATGAACCCATTTCGAACCATTTTGTGTGAAATTGCTTTAGAATTGTTTCAGCCCTTCTGATACGGGCATTGTATTTGGAACCAGGACTTAGTAAACAAAATTATTTTTTTAAATAATAATCGAAATATTTTATTATATTCGGCAAAACAATTCACTAAGATACGAAGAGGCTTTTTCGGTGGTGGTTAGCAGATGGATGCATCCGATTATCCGATTTTTTAAAAGAGTTCATTTTTTTCCTGAAAGTTCACTTTAACTTATTTGTCACCTGGACTTCTGAATGATTTCGCCTCCACAGGATCAGAACTCATTAATCAATTGTCTTAATTGAGTGGGTTGTCAATTCGTGCTTTGGCTCGTTTTTTTTGGAAGTAGAGCATTTCTGATATACACTCGTTAATTTTCCCTCTAAAAGACATCAAAAGTGTCCTCCGTTATATAATTAATCCACCATTTTCTTATTTTTTTTCTTGTAGGTTTTATTTAGTTATTATTATTATTATTATATCAAATGGCAAGGGTTTTGATTGTTATCATTAGCCCTTTAGTTGACTTCAGGCTTCACAGAGGGGAAGGAACATCAATGTGAAAAAAGTCGAGAGGAGGGGAACTGAAGAGTGTTTCAAAGACGAAGGTAGATAAGATGGAAAAAAGGGGGGATGAGTACTATGAAAGTAGTCGAATATAACATAAAATGGGGTGAGTACTTTAAAAGAGACAGACAGACAGACACAAAGGCATAAAAAGGGTAAGATGAGTACTGTGAACGGGGTCGAATATGACAAATAGTCGGGCCATAGTAGTTTGAAGTGAGACAGAAAGACATAAATGCATAAAAAAGGTAAGATGAGTTCTGTGGATGGGGCAATAGTCGGCTCATTGTAGTTTGAAGTCAGAAGTCAACTGCCGGTTGATAGACTTGATGGTAATTGAAGTCAGAAGTCAACTGCCGATTAATAGACTTGGGGTCATGATAGTTTGAACTCAGAAGTCAACTGCCAGTTAATAGACTTACTCATGGTAGTTTGAAGTCAACTGCCAGGTAATAGACTTTAGTTTGAAGTGAGAAGTCAACTGCCGATTGATAGACTTTTATTTGAAGTCAGAAGTCAACTGCCAGTTAATAGACCTTTTCAGTCAGAAGTCAACTGCCGGTTTATAGACTTTTTTGCCGTTTGAGTAGTCAGAAGTCAACTGCCGGTTAATAGACTTTTTTGTGAAGTGAGAAGTCAACTGCCAGTTAATAGACCTTTTTGCGTTGAAGTCAGAAGTCAACTGCCGGTTAATAGAATTTTTTTGCCGATAGTTTGAAGTCAACTGCCGGTTTATAGACTTCGAATATGACATAGAGAAGTCAACTGCCAGTTAATAGATCTTAGTTTGAAGTGAGAAGTCAACTGCCAGTTAATAGACTTGTACCGTTAAAGTAATAGAGTGGGGTGATGGTAGTTTGAAGTCAGAAGTCAACTGCCGATCAATAGACTTTTTGCAAGTCAGAAGTCAACTGCCGATCAATAGACTTTTTTGTCTTTGAAGCTAGAGTCAACTGAAGGTAGAAAAAAGGCGAGGTGAGTACTGTGGAAGTGGTGAAATATGACATACAGTGGGGTGATGGTAGTTTGAAGTCAGAGGTATATGACATACAGTGGGGTGATGGTAGTTTGAAGTGAGAAATAGGTAGAAAAAAGGTGAGGTTAGTACTGTGGAAGAAGTCGACAGTAGAGCAAAGGTGAGGTGAGTACTGTGGAAGGGGTCGAATTTGACATACAGTGGGGTGATGGTAGTTTGAAGTGAGAAGTCGAAGAGAAAAGGTAAGATGAGTACTGTTGAAGTGGTCGAATTTAAGAAAAAAGGTGAGGTGAGTACTGTGAAATGGTCGAATATGGACAAAGGTGAGGTGAGTACTGTAAAAATAGTCGAATATGATATAGAGTGGGGTGATGGTAGTTTGAAGTCAGAAGTCAACTGCCGATCAATAGACTTTTTGCAAGTCAGAAGTCAACTGCCGATCAATAGACTTTTTTGTCTTTGAAGTCAGAAGTCAACTACCGTACAGTGGGGTCATGGTAGTTTGAAGTGAGAAGTCAACTGTAGGTGAGGTGAGTACTGTGGAAGTAGTCGAATATGACACAGTAAGGTAAGATGATTACTGTGAAAGGGGTCGAATATGACATAAGTGAGGTGATGGTAGTTTGAAGTGAGAAGTCAACTGCCTTAGTCGAATATGACATACAGTGGGGTCAGAGTCAACTGAAGGTAGAAAAAAGGCGAGGTGAGTACTGTGGAAGTGGTGAAATATGACATACAGTGGGGTGATGGTAGTTTGAAGTCAGAGGTATATGACATACAGTGGGGTGATGGTAGTTTGAAGTGAGAAATAGGTAGAAAAAAGGTGAGGTTAGTACTGTGGAAGAAGTCGACAGTAGAGCAAAGGTGAGGTGAGTACTGTGGAAGGGGTCGAATTTGACATACAGTGGGGTGATGGTAGTTTGAAGTGAGAAGTCGAAGAGAAAAGGTAAGATGAGTACTGTTGAAGTGGTCGAATTTACGAATATGGCATAGAGTGGGATGATGGTAGTTTGAAGTCAAGTAGTCGAATTTGACATACAGTGGGGTGATTGTAGTTTGAAGTCATGTCAAATGCCGGTTAATAGACTTTTTTGCCGTATGAGAATGTAGGACATATAGGGGGGTCATGGTAGTTTGAAGTGAGAAGAAAACTGCCGGTTAATAGACTTTTTTGCCGTATGCGGAGAAGTCAACTACCAGTTAATAGACTTTGCCGTTGAAGTCAGAAGTCAACTGCCGGTTAATAGAATTTTTTTGCCGATAGTGAGAAGTCAACTGCCGGTTTATAGACTTTTTTGCCGCTTTGAAGTCAGAAGTCAACTGCCGAATAATAGACTTTTTTAGGGTAGTTTGAAGTGAGAAGTCAACTGCCAGTTAATATAACGAATATGACATAGAGAAGTCAACTGCCAGTTAATAGATCATGGTAATTGAAGTCAGAAGTCAACTGCCGATTAATAGACTTGGGGTCATGATAGTTTGAACTCAGAAGTCAACTGCCAGTTAATAGACTTACTCATGGTAGTTTGAAGTCAACTGCCAGGTAATAGACTTTAGTTTGAAGTGAGAAGTCAACTGCCGATTGATAGACTTTTATTTGAAGTCAGAAGTCAACTGCCAGTTAATAGACCTTTTCAGTCAGAAGTCAACTGCCGGTTTATAGACTTTTTTGCCGTTTGAGTAGTCAGAAGTCAACTGCCGGTTAATAGACTTTTTTGTGAAGTGAGAAGTCAACTGCCAGTTAATAGACCTTTTTGCGTTGAAGTCAGAAGTCAACTGCCGGTTAATAGAATTTTTTTGCCGATAGTTTGAAGTCAACTGCCGGTTTATAGACTTCGAATATGACATAGAGAAGTCAACTGCCAGTTAATAGATCTGGTCATGGTAGTTTGAAGTCAGAAGTCAACTGCCGGTTTTGGGGTGATGGCAATTTGAAGTCAGAAGTCAACTGCCAGTTTAGTGAGGTCATGGTGGTTTGAAGTCAGAAGTCAACTGCCAGTTAAAGTGAGGGTAGTTTGAAGTCAGAAGTCAACTGCCGAATAATAGACTTTTTTGCCGTATGAGCATACGTTGCCCAGGGTGCACTACGTGGAGGTAAGTCTATCACACACCCCAGATTTTATTTAGTTGAATTGAGTATTTTCACAAATTTACCTTTTCTTGCTTTTTCAGGCGTTATCGATTTTAATGTATCCATTTCAATTTTTTTTGTTCACTTAAAATTTTGTCGTAAATGCGTAAATAGTGCACGCGAATGCGATAAAGATTCGTGTTTTTTGCCTTTTGTCATTTTGACTTTAATAAGTGGGTTTTTTGCCACACGAATAAGACGTCAACCCCCAACGTTTTTTTATAGATCAAAATTCATTACTGCATTTTGTTAAGATGGGGTGTTGCTAGGCCGGTCATGTTAATGCAGTTAAACTTACCCGCCTTAGAGTGTGTGGGAAATGCCAATACTATTTGACTTTGACAAGAGGGAGAGGTCATCCAACTGAGTAACTCGAATTTTTTCGCCTCTCTAAGCGGTTAAAATTAGCCAATGTTACTGACCCCCCCCCATCCTCCTGCGTCACTAAGTCAACACCAACGAACTTTGGATTCATGACCTCAAACGTGGTAGTGATATATGATTACTGCACCATCGGTGCACAAAATGGTTTAGCATTTCATCTTCTACATCTCTGGCATGGAAGTTGATGGAAAAAATTATTACTAGCAGCTTATTCACATTTTAGCCATGTATTACTTAACGCTTCACTTGGGAATAGCGTTGTTTTAACCTCGAATCTGTGGTTTAATTCGGGTGGTTTAAACTGAGCTGCTGTTTATTTTCAAACATCACTTGTTTATTTATATGGGAAATCTCTATCCCACTTTTGCGTAGCAGATTCATTGAAAGTGTTTAATGACTGTTTGCCTAACTTTGCCATAGAACAATTCTATTGTCAATATTAATCACTAAAATATTATTATTATATCAAACGGCAGGCGTTTTGATTGTTATCATTAGCCCTTTAGTTGACTTCAGGCTTCACAGAGGGGAAGGAACATCAAAGTGAAAAAAATTCAAGAGGAGGGGGGGACAGAAGAGTGTGTCAAAGACGAAGTTAGATAAGGTGGAGAAAAGGTGGGATGAGTACTGAGAAAGTAGTCGAATATGACATACAGTGGGGTCATGGTAGTTTGAAGTCAACTGCCAGGTAATAGACCTTTTTGTTGTATGAGTATACGTTGCCCAGGGTGCACCACGTGGAGGTAAGTCTATCGCACACCCCATCACTAAAATATAATCTTATCAATTTTAATGTTGTTTTTTTTCAGATTCAACATTTAAGTAGAAAAGGAAAATTGAAGTAAAGAAGTCACTGCCTTACAAATATAGTTGATTGTACTACATTTTTAAACTCGCGTTTAAATGGGCTGTAAATAACGCGCTTCTTCGACGATACCAATTAGAATTAGAGTTAATTAGATTTGCGTAAATGTTGATAAATGCCACTGAGAAAGCTTTATGTTGTA